AGGCCCAGCCCAGATACCGGCTCACTGCCCCCGTAGGAGCAAGAACAGATACAGATTCAATGTGTATGCGACATGGACTACTTCAACTGCCACTTCGTGTGATTTTACCTTGGAACAGCCTTCCACTTACCTAAGCACACCGACTAGTCTAAGTTTAACTAGCATCATCATTGTCAGGTCAGCTCAAACATGAAAAACAATAGCCAGGGCAAAGTCCTTAGGTGTGGCTGGTTCACAGGTCAAGAAATAATTGTAGGTTCACATCCTGATTACAGCAGGGGCTTAGATACTGTCCAAGGAAGGAATTCTCACCCTCTCCGGTAAGCTCCACCCATGGAATCTGCTAGGAGAGCCTTCCTCTGTGTTGCTTCCTCTTATCAAGTGATGTAAAACTTGTAAATTGATCTCAGTAAGTGACATTGGATGCATGATTTTATGTATATGCAAAGAGGGCTATGAAAGGAGCTGCTGGTTTTGAGTTCTGGCAGTGCAATTGTGTTTTTCTGCATTTGGACTACATCAGCAGTTTTCAAAGTGATCTGTGCACGAGCCAGGGTTTGGGAGTTGATGGTTTTTATCAGTTCTACACTCTACTCTTTGAAAGAAAGGGTTACATTGCTGGAAGGTGTGGAAGAAGCTGAAGGCTGAACTGATCTTCTGGTGTCTAAACAGATAAACATGAGAATAACCTATTTCCTTGTTGCTACTCCAACTCATTTGGACGTTTACTTGCCAGGTGAGAGAAGCCAAGAGACTGGCCTTCGTCCTGGTTTAAAAAAAGCATTTTAATCAACATTTATCTAATCTTAGCTCATTCCTCAGAACTTTTGTGAAAACAGCAATTTTATAAAACCTCCCATCTGCAGCCACTAACAGCCGATCCTCCTCCAGAAAGGTGTGGAGACAGGAGCACCTGTGGCCTTGGACAGCCATTCCTTCCCACCCCCCGGTGCCTGCTCAGTGCCCTCCCTGCCAGGACCCTCCTTATGTGCCCTCTATGCGCTTTACCTTCACCACGGTCTGCTCTGACAGGAGACTCAACTGCCCAATAACTATTGTACAGATTGTGGTTTCAGACTTTCCAATGAAGTACCTACACTCTAGGATTATCAGGGATTTTACTTATTCTTCACTGTAGGGGGCTATTGTCTGATCAGAGCCTGTTTCCCCACCCTCCCAAAGGAAATACCGGATTTGAATAAACCAACGGTACTGTGGCTGAAAAGATTTAACTCAAATGATAGCAAAAAATTTTTTTAATACTTAAAGAGCTTATTCTGCACAATTAGGAAAGAAAGACACCAAACCATTTAAACACATGTATGTACATTTATGGCTTTATACAGTAATAGCAAAGATTGTTCTTGTGTCTGTAGTATATCAGCATCATTAGGCACTTCTCATATTGGAACAGGAACATGGAATCCATGGAATCTGCACTGTTACTAACTTAAGTAGCAAAACGCAGGAGAGCATGACTACGTCCCAGCAGGACTCACATGGCCACACCGCCAGGCTGGGCACCACCCTCAGGGAGGAGGCCAGGAGTCCCGCCCAGCAGCTGTTTGCATAAACCACACTGCGTTCTTCTGAGTGATTACTCCCAAACTAAAATCAAAAGAGAAACTTCTCATTGAAAAGTCAGTTATAAATTAAGAACTCTTAAGAGCCGAATGTAAAAATCTCGTGGGGGGTGGTAGCATGTATCCAGCAGCTGAGCAAGTCTAAATGTCTACCTTTGGAGAACCGGTTCCATTTCAAGTGTCTTCTCTTCTTGGGACGTCCCCCTGACTCACTGCTTGCTGGGATATAACATTTGCTAATTAATTTAGACTGTCAGTTTGTCAAAGCAGAACTTTCCATGTAGTATGTCTATCACCTAAATATATTGCATACACCTATATTACAGAAACAATACTTTATATTTAAAATTATCTGAATAGCTCTATAATACAATATGCTTTTAATAACAGTACAAACCAAGGAAAATAAATCAAACAAGGCTGCATAGGTGATATCATTTGCACATTTCACAAAGCAATCGTGTACAGTAACTGATAGACTAATTACTCTAGAAAGTCGGTATTCATACAGAAAAAGAATCACCAGAGGTCACATAATGTTTTCAAAATAGACAAGGTGCCTTTCACTGGAGTTCATTGTACCCCAGAGAGTTAGCTACCCAAGATTCATGTCAGAATTTCAACATAAAGAAAAAATTGAAAGGAAAAAAAGGTATTTACACAGACGTGGGAGGAAGAAACATATTTAAAGTCACGCTGTGAAGCAGTTGAGATGCTAACAGCAATGCTAGCGGTCACTGTCGCTGAGGCTCCTGTGTAATGGCGTGGGAGAAGTGGCAGCAGTGGTAACAGAAACACGAGTACTCTGCACCAAAGGGTCCTGTTCCACAGGCAGGAGGCTCTGCTGAGAGGCACGAGGAGGCCTAAAACCAGACATGTTTTGGAGTGTCCAACAATGAAGATGGCTAGAGAGGTGGTTGTTCAATGAATTCCCAAAACAGAAGTTACAGTGGGCGGCTTACCATAGAGCTGGCCTCCTATAGGAGATCTATCAGGGACACTTATATTCTTGTTAAACTGTAGGAAAAACCAAGCCAACAGAGATGCAACTCAGAGACAAATGAAGCAAATGTGATCTGGGCTAAGTGCAGAGAAATCAGAACCTTCTCCAGCAGGCAAGAGGAACATTTTTGTTCAGCTGTTCATTTTATTTTGCGGACCACAGGCATCCACACGACTTGAAAATACCAACACTGTAGGTGGGACACAAGGCCAATTGAGTTGTCTGTCAGTTAAAGGTAATTGGAAAATACTAAAACCTAATGATCAGAATTATAATTTAGGTTGCTAAAGGCTAAAGAAATCCTTATCTTATGCCTTTTAAAAGAATTCAAATATACAACGTATATCTGGTTGGTTGATTTTCAAATTAATTGCCCCAGTTTTTACATAGGTTCTTTCCTATTTGATAGCCATCTGTATTCATGAACACAAAGCATTCTACAAATCACCGAGGTCACATTTCTAAATCCCCCCTTTGACTTACTCTCTCCATAGGGTGCCATGTAATCTGCAAGACAGAGGGAAAGAACCACAAAGTGTGAGTGTTAACATACACTTCAAGGCAGAACTACAAACCAACCTCCACCCAGATCAACACAGAAGCACAGAATTCTGAGGGGAAACCTTTGTTGAAGCCCAACCTAAAATGGCTGTTGATTAAAAGCCCCAGTTTGAGAAAGGAGTACTGTGTTAGATGCAGGTCTCCCTTTCTGATCTACAAACATTACTAGGCCTCCCAGGAGGCCCTGCCACGGCTAGACAGGTATCTATAGAAAACTCAATGCTATGCAGTACGCTTAGTTCGCAGAGCAATAGCAGATGTAATTTCCTTAAAATACATACATAAAAACATATCAAATTCTCCTAAACATGAAAAGTAAAATGTCCTTAAACTGTACATCACTCTCCTGCCAAAATAGGGCCAGAAACATTGAATATGCAAGTACTAATTACAATGATTTTAAGATTAGTCAGAAACATCACCAAGCAGCATCCCAAAGTGTACAAACCAGTTAAACACGTACAAAAATTAGTACTAATCCAGTTAGAATACAAAATGAAAATTATGGATGCTGTCTCAAATATCTGGAATTCTACAAATTTACAAGTATACTGTAACAAAGTATACTCTAGGTTTAAGAAAACATTACAGTTCAATATCTATTCCAAAAATGATCTCAAGTCCCAATAATAACATCAAAAATCACTTATCTGGAAATTAGAACCATTTATATGTTTGTACAAATTTGCAAAAAACAAAACAGACAACAAAAAATAGAAAAGACTGTACAAGGCTGGTGTTTACTTTTTTTTTTTTTTTTTTCCAAAAGAGTTTGACAAGTCCATTAATTCAGCAGATTGATGATAGATTACTGGTTCTCACGTGAATTATGTGGCAAAATGAACAGGTTCAAAGCTGTTCACGAAGGTGCAGAATGGAGAGCTTGGTTCTCTGTGATTCATCAGTTCAGCGGAACACAGGTAGTACAAACAGAAGTTTAACTTATCGAGGACAGGAGACCATCACAGTATTACAAAAAGTATAAACTTTCCTTGGACCAAATGGATATTTAACAAAACAAAACACACACAAATATAATTCTGTAGCTACTACTTATATACAAAACTTGAAAGCACACCAGAATCTGAAAGTCTTTTCTGCAGTTATATGGTGTAGTGAGTTTGGCACTTGATTGTAATGAAATTTCCAATGGCACAGTCCTTATCTACAGCAACACATAACCTGCAAACGTTGGGCAAACATCCTGTACAGGAAAAGTGTCTTTGCTGCCAAGTCTGACGAAAAAAAAATAAAATAAAAAAGGTTTTTGGTGTGTATTTTTTTTAATCAAGAAAATGAAAAGATAGGATGAAGGACATCTTTGGACTTCTTCTCAGTTCCTGCTGTCAGACAATCTGAAGTACTTTTTAAGTATAGCCTAAGGAAAAAACAAACACACACAAAATAAAAAATATCCAAATTAAAATCAATGCAACTTAACATGGAGTGACAGACATACTGGGGGAAGGGGAAATAAATAGCTAGAGCTTTCTCAAACAGCTCTGAAATCATTCAATGGGGGAAATTCCACTTTAAAGGCCCTTCAGCATTTAATTTATATTAAATGTATTCATTTATTGAAGAGCTACTGAAAAGATGCAGCCATCTAACTGTTAAAATCTTTACAGCAGTTAGAGGAACGTTCTGTGTTTAAACTCAAAAGGAAAATTTATAAGCTATAGAAAGGGTGAAGAATGAATAATAAAAGACACCTCTCTGCAAGAGGTAGCTAGTTGACCTTTAAAAAGTCTTAACCATGGGAGATAGATGGCAGTTACAGTATTCCTCTCTTTTAAGTTCTGTTTGCAGGTCTTTTGATAATGGGGTAATCTTACCTGCTTGGAAATTCACTCTCAGCCTGACACCCAGCTATGTGTTGTCGTCTTGACACTATGCGGGAAGCTTTGGTTAGGCAACACATTGTCAAAATTAAAATCCAAAGTATCTCCATCCATGAGGTCATTCCGAATGATGGACTCCATGTCACAGTCCAGGCGCTCAATAAACATGCCGTCCAAGTCACTCGGGAGCTTCTCCTGGTGGAGGATGCCCATCCTGCCGTAGCCGTTGCAGCTGCTCATGGAGGAGTAGCCCCCAAGGGCGTTCATCTGCATGGGGTGAGGCGGAGGCCCTGGCAAAGTCGTCTTCACTGGGGCCAGGCGGCTCATACCCGAGGTGTGGGGCATGGTGTTCACTGCGTGGGGCAAGGCACGCCCATTAACTACAGAGGTTGGCTGGGCATGCCCAGGGTGGGAATGGGAGCTGGGAGTCAGCATTTTGTTATGAGATGCCTGGCTGCCATAGTTTGGCATGACCGAATTAGGGCCCATCAATACATTTTGGCCCAGGACCCTACTGTTAGGTTGAGCCACCCCAGGATCAACTGGTGCCATAATGTCATTATGGGGAGGAGAGTCAGAAGTAAGTAACTCCTTCAAGAGTCCTGGTGCACAATTATACTGACTTATTCCTCCATAGCTCGATTTATTGTCCTGAAGGGTTTGCATTGACATCTGGGGCAAGGGGCTCATGCTGGATTGGCCATAGGTATATTTTTGGTAGTTTGGACTGGGTGAATTCAGGCTGGTGTTTGGCGGTGCAAACGAGTAGCACGGTGTCTGCTGCATCATGGCACCAGGTGAAGACTGGGTTGAAACAGTTAATGACGGTGGTGATGACAGGAGGTTGAGATTATCCAAAAGGTTTTCCATGTTTTCAGGATTGCTTATCTCTGACAGACTGGGCAGAGTAGAAGCCATCTTTGCAGCGGAGGGTGGGTACACCATTGAATGCACGTCACCATCTCCAAGATCATCCTGTTCAGTCATAATGGGAGAGAGTCTCCCACTAATAGTACTAGCATTTGAGCTAGTTCGAGGGCGAAATGTATTCCAGTTATCAAAGTCGTCATTGCTGTGAGAGCCAGGGCTGGCAGGCCACTTAGAGAATTGAGACCCCGGGCTGTCTCCGGCACCCTCTGGACCAGACTGGAGGGATGCTTTTTTCTTGGCGGCTCGACCTCGGCTCTTGGAGAATTTACTGTTGTTGTCCATGGACGCAGCTCTTCTTCTGGGGGATTTTCCACTCTTGCCTCCTTCTGGGTTGAGCATCCACCAAGAGCTTTTTCCAGTTCCTTCATTCTGCACACGGATGAACTTGCTGTGCAGAGACAGATTATGACGAATTGAATTCTGTAAAGCAAAAACATCATGTTAGAAATATAGTCCTTCTCCAACTACATAGAAGTACTGATTTCAGCCCATATGCTCAGAGTGGTTCTGAACCCCACTATAAAAGAGTTCACACCATAGAAGAAAAATATTATCTTAAAAATAAAATATGTATCTTAATGAGGGAACAAAATTAAATACTCATTATTATAAATACTTCCTTTTATATAAGTATATTTACAGAGGAATTAGAGAAACTGGTTTTAAAACCACTTACATTTTGTTTACAGTCAGTGCTATGCAAATAGTACTTCCTAACTAAGTGCTATAAAAACTTTTTCCACTCTATTATCCCTAAAACTACTGCAATTTCATAAGGTTGCACATATGTCATTTACTCAAAGTGAGGAGTTTTGCATTACTGGGCTTACATATTATGGAAAAGAAATAAACGAAGCAGCATATATTATTAGTCAAAAATTAAAACCCTGAAAACCCTAAGACTTAGATTCATTTAAGCCCGTAATATCCCGTTAGGCAAATATAGGTGAATATAAGAAAAAAAATGCCCCCCCCCCTTTTTTTAATTTTAGAAAGTTGAACTGCACCCCACCTCCCAAAGAAAAATTTAAATTCAAGTGTTATTTACCACCCCTTTGTTCCCAAAATAACCAGCAATATGCACCAACTAATCCAAGGACACTGCATCAGAAGTTATTCTCTGTCCAAAAGGATAATCTTGGAGAAGTGGATGGCATGTAGAGTACAAATAGCTTGAAGTTTCAACCTGCTAGGAACAGCTCCATGACTGAACTGTGCCATGTATACTCCTGGGACAATTAGTAGAGAGAAATCAACCTTTTTTGACCATTTAGGAAGCTCTGCTAATTACTGGCTACATAACCGCATAGAATTCCTTGGCCCTTATCTATACATATAAAACTCTAATATGCAAATAGATCAAACAGAGGAACAACGTGCTGACCACCAGGGGGCATGCATGGAACACGGCTGCAGTGGGATGATGGAGTAGGTAAGCAGGGGCACCAGACCAAAGTGGGGCACCAGTCACTGTCATTGGGGCGAGCCTCTGGTGGTTACTGAAAATTCTTTGCTCCTGCGTACTGCCAGGCACTTGCACCTGCTGCTGGCACCGGCCACAATCACTCTGTGCCATAAGCGGGAGTGAGCGGGGCCAGCACCATCAGCATGTGGGAGCAGCAGTGGCAGGAGTGGGCTGCCGGCAATCAGGGAATCCGGGGCTGTGGAAGGGACTGGGCAGGGACAGGGAGGATGGGCCAAGATATGCCTTTGTGCCCACCGCAGCCTCACAACCCACAGTTTCTTTCAAGGTGCACAAATTCATCCACTGGGCCCCTAGTGGTATATAAAATGCTCAAGGGTGTCTGGTACACAGTAAAAGTTACCAAGAAGAATATATTAGATCCCATCTTTAAAGACACAAGTTTTCACCAGGCTATTTCATTCCTCTTATTCACTAGGGTGTGGGTAGGAGGTATTTCAAACACAAACCCACAACTCCAGACACACAGTGAAGGAAGCTAGAGACAGTCTCACGTTACAGTAAAAGCAGCGAAGCTGAGCTACAATCAAGGAAGCCCCAATTTGACTCCTCTACTGGCTCACAGAGAGATTGCAAGCATCCAGAGAGCTCCTGGGACACGTGGAAAAGGAAAAGTAGGCTCCTAAACCAGAGGACTTAGACTTACATCTTTTTGTCCCCAGCATAGGACAGGGGACAGTAAACTCTCACTACCTGATCATCGAGCAGTGTCTGTCATCAAGTCCCCAATCCCAAATCCAGGACGAGATTCCCCAAGTATCCCTGAACCCTGGGAGCAGGGCTGAGCACATGGCCGGGGACTGAGCTCCCTAGACCCATCACCCCTCTCCTTAACCACGAAAAGGCCCTGGGGCTGGATTTGTGGTCACCCCAGGGTGCAGCCACAGTGCCACATCCTCATGCCATCGCCATGCCACTCATTGCACCAGAACAAAGGCAGGACAAGGCTGGAGCTCCAACCCAAACCATAAGCTCAACCTTTTTTCTCATTGAAAGAAATTAGAAAACAAAGTGGGGATCCCCCTACCCCCCACTTTCTTAAAGAAGATTTAAAAGTCAACGAGGCCTTAGTTGTTTTGGCTCAATGGATAGAGTATTGGCCTGTGGACTGAAGAGTCCCAGGTTCGATTCTGGTTAAGGGCATATGCCCAGGTTGTGGGCTCAATGCCCAGCAGGAGGTGTGCAGGAGGCAGCCAATAAATGTTTCTCTCTCATCATTGATGTTCTATCTCTCTCTCCCTCTTCCTTCATCTACGAAATAAATAAAAATATATATTTTTAAAAAGTCTGAGTCAGGCCCAACTGCCGGGGCTGAGAAATCCACAGCTCAGAATGCCCTCTGATCCTCTGTACTACATTCCACCCAAGGGCTGCAACACAGAAGCAATTGACAAGCCCTTCTGCCAGGGCACACGAGAGTGTGGGTCAGAAATGGCCCTGAACAGGGTCTTCAGCCTGGATGGTGGGCAGGTGTGTCAAGTGAATGACAGGGAGTGTTCTTTGTTCCCAAGACTTCCCTCTGCCTTCCCACTTATGGATCTGTCCCCAAACTCAGTACTTTCTAAAAGAGGCCAAGAACTGTTTCCCCAATGCCCGATTTCACTCCCATGACACTCCCTTACGGGAAGGTTTTACACATACACACACGCTCCCACAGTCACAGCCTCATCTGCTGGGCTGACCAACACCCGCAAACCAACTTCCAAATTCCTCCTTAAAGCAGCAAGCCTGTGCCTGGGGTAGACCAGAATGGAGGTAAGGACTCTGACCCTGTGACATGTTCCACATGCTCAAAGTCTGGACATTTGCACAATATTCCATCATTATACCTTGTTCTTTGAACACAACAGTCACATACATAAACTACAATGAAGAAATTTCTAGAGAAAAGGAAGCTTGTCATTTAGTTAATGATAAAGGGGGGAGATCTTACTAAATAGTATCTTCCTGGCTATCTTTGCTGACTGGCAAGAAGGGTGAGGAGGTGGGTAGCCCTGCGGCTCAACAACATTAGATCAGAGCATTTGCAACTGCAATTTGGGGGCTTTTTAAATAAGACTGCAGAATACATGATGGTGAAATATTTAAAAATTTTCAGAAAGCATTCACTAATTCAGATGGGACATACATTAACTCACTAATTAAACTTATATATATATATATACAAAAAAGGTCCCATAGCATTCCCTTACTTATCAAAACATTATGCTACATATTTTTCTAAGAGGACATTTGAGGTCGCTCTTTGAGTAACGTAGCTGTCTCCTAACTTTGCCAACAATTAAAAAAAAATTTTCCGAACAGGAAAAGGTTTTCTGTGCAGGCCTTGTTACATAAATTCCTGTTTTTCACATAGCCAGCAGGACATTAAAGAAGCTATGATTTCCAGGAGGATAGGGCTGGGGGTGTTGAATAGGTAAATCTTGTAAAAACTGCGTTGCTATTTAATGATGTTATGTCTGCCGGACGTGGCCAAGGCCAGAGGAAAGTGTAGTTCATCCATGGAGCCATGAAGCAGACCACATGCACTGTCAGTGCCCTGAGATAGTCAGTTCTTGAACTATGACAACTACTTTGTAAGGAAAGAGGCAGGGTGTGAGGACAAAAAACCCATGCACTGCAAACCACTTACCCAGATCCTGAGTTTCTGCGTAACACCACTAAAGAAAAAGGCAAGTCAGCATATTTCCTCTCCACTAGCTGTATTTCTCTGCAGCCGTGGCTTTCTGATAATGCAGAGCTTTCTTTTCTCTGAAAATATCTCCCTCTGCAACCTGCTCCCTGACACTACCCTGCCATCTGCATGCCTGGCCCTCCAAGCAGGGAAGCCAGACCAAATAAACTCCATGGATCACGTGGTGAAGGGGTATTGTGGACAAGATATGCTCTTGCTTGCTTAACCTGCTCTGCTGGCTGTTTCTAAGTTTCAGGTGTTCAGTTTTATGTGCTCTACAGACTGGATTCCAGGCGCCTTAAGGGTACAGGGCTAAAGTTTATTTTTATTTCCTAATCTCAAATCCCCTAATATGACCCCACACAAGATACAGTCAATGGTTATTGTTTATTTTCACCCCCAAAACATTACAAGGAAGTGTAGTCTAACACCTTTTATCCATCTATCAATGTGCCAATTCACACCAGTTATTTACTGGGACCTATTTTCTGCTACTTGCAGCAAAGGACAAAAAAAGGAATTAGATGCAGATTCTGCCTGCTAGGTTTTATGATCTACCTAGGGAAAGAAGAAGCTCCTCTACATACACACTCAAGACAGAAATTGATGCACAAAAAGAACTGTTCAGGAGCATCGACTTTTTCCCATCAGAGGTCACCCCCATCTCTGCCCAGTGTCCCCTTTCCAGAAGCATTTCCTGATAACCCCACCCATCATGCAGCTCTCTAACACAGGACCTGGTTTACTCACCATGATTCTACTATGCCAGGTCCCTTGGAGGCATGTCTGGCACCCCACTATACTATAAGCTGCATGAGCTAAGGTCTGACTTAATGTAACACTATTCTCACAGTTCCATCACCAAGAAGGCACTCAAGTATCTGTTGAATGGATTAGCAGCTCCTACATTTTCAGGGCTATTGTGAAGATTAAATGAGATAACACACATTAAGTGCTCACCTCAATCAAAATTAGCTGATGACATCTATAAAATAACATGTCTACATTTTAGAGACTTATCTAGATTATAAACATCAGTCTCATTTCTTTAACCACATCTTGCACTCTTTCTACTAACATGAGGCTTTTACATGTAGTGACTAGAAAAATAGACCAGTTTGCAGCTAAGAGTTAAGAATAGTACTTCAGATATACTAAAGCTCCTCTGTAAACACACTTGCTGGTCAGTGTCATCAGGATTCTTTTTAAAGTGTTGCTGCCTAGTCTTGTGTGTGAGCATCACATACAGCTGTGGGCTCTCTG